ATTTACTGACCTCTGACACCAGAGCTTAGACTACTGGATTTCTGCAGCAGGGAGGTGATGAGGGAGCTTGGCAGGAAATGTATAAACTGTGAGGGGAAGGGGGCATTTGCTAACCCTGTCACTTTACTTCGACTGGGCAAAGTGACCATGTCTCTTTAATTGCCAGTTACTTAGTTTTTCTGCTGCTTCTCTAGCATCAATAAGTTGAGTTTCTGACCAAGTTATCAGATCAGAAGTTCCTACTTTACTGGCTGCATGTTCCAGATCAGTGACTCAAGGTTCTGAACTCAAGATACATGATGAGGCAACCTTTTTCCCCCAGCCCATCTTTCAGCTCCTCATAGAAAATAATGGTCAGGTTATAACTGACATGGTGCAGGTACATAGAAAATTCACGCATAAGGTGTTAGGAGATGGGGTGCTGGCAGGTAGGTTATCTAACCATGCAACCATTGCCCAGCCATGGGCTAGGAAACATATAGGATAATACTGTATGTGTTTGAGATCTTCATATTCTTCCTCAGGAGGATGAGAGAGAGTAGAAATTGGTGTTTGCAAGGTATAACTTCCTTTCTACTTTAAGCCAGTTTTTTAAAGGTTTATATCGGTCTAGATACAATAATTCCTGACTACAAGCAAATTAATATACCTTAGTAGATCACTACAGCAATTCAGTATTTTCTGAAATAAGCAGGTCAGTAATCTCCAGGTACCTGTTGTAGAATAACTGAAGTGAATGTACCCATCTAATTTTAGCCAGTATGCCCGCTAAGAGCTCACATAGTTAAAGCAAACCAACATTTGTGAATTTTGTTGATGGGGAAAGCTTTTTGATTTTGTAGTGTACATTTTGTATAGATGTGTTCCTTTGGGATCACTGAAAACGTTTCACCAAGCCTATATATACTAATGTTGCTGTAGTTTAAAAGACATGGCTAGAGGATATCAAACCCACTAGTGACAAGAGACTTTACTGCAGAGACTCAGACGTCTCTGTAGTAAAGATACAGCTTATATAGGTGTTGGGCTTGTTAGATGGTATGCTGTTTTTATTATGTGCTATCTTTTGAAAAGACAAGTCATTTTTTATTTTTTTTCCTTTGCATTTTCTTTTTGTTTTTGTCCTGTAGATCGACCAGTACCTGCAACATCTTTCCTCCCTACACAGCGACTCCAGCTTCGGAGGGCAGGGCAATGGTTGTCACAGCTTTCCCTGTGGTGTCTGCCTGCCATATACAGCTCTGGAGTTTGCCGTGAGGTGAGAAAGATTGCATGGTCTGGTTTTTTTCCAGTATAGTGTAGATTCTGTACCTGTGTCACCAATATCATGGAACATGTGCTGGAAGAGCAGTGTAAATACACCCCACTATTGCTTCACCAAACCTCATTGCTGTTCTAAACTGATTAGGTTTGAAGGGGACTATTCTTGCCCTCATATGTGCTGACAATGTTCAGTTTTGTATGTCCTATTTGAAAACGTAAATAGAGGGTCTAGTACAGATAAGACGGCTGTTGTGGCCAAATAATACTTGTCATACTTCATATTGAACAATAAATAAGAAAACCCAGAGTTACATGCTTTTGTGTTACATGTGTCATTTTAACACTTTTATGTTGTTTTTTTGTCATTTACAGATTTTCTCCAGAAGCTGCATCTCGACGAGGGCTGAGCACAGCAGAAATGAACGCTGTAGAGGCCATTCACAGAGCAGTGGAGTTCAATCCACATGTGCCAAAAGTATGTCTGCTTGACAATTCATACCCTCCCTACAGCAGATTGTTACAATCCATAGTCTGAGCAGAAGCGCTAGTGCCACAAAGGTGTTGGTTATTATTCCCAGGGGCGTTATTTTATAATAACATATACTATAGTGCCTGTTTTCTAATGACTAGAGGACTGTATCTGCCAAAATGAAGCTTTGCTTGCGCAGCTCTTATTTCCTGGTACATTCTCCCTCTTAGGGATTTCTTGTATAATTTTAATTGGGGGTTTCTCAAGGCTTCTGTCATTCAGAGCACCATGATTTGATTCATTGTGCAGGTTAGGGCTTGTACACATTCTTCACCTGTAGTGCATCTCAGTTTAGCTGTGTCCTCAGCTTTGGCAACAGAACATTGTGTAACGTACAGATAGCATCATAGTAAACCCTATAAAGACTGTAGCCAGCCTGTGGAAGGGTTATCTACCACTCTGAAAAGGTTGTTCTTTAGAAATTCTAAGCCTGTGGCAAACTGTTGTTGTCACTAGTGTCTATTCTTGGCAGACAAGAGATATTGTCTTCAGCAATGCAAAGCAGTTATTATTAGTTGTCTTTTCATTTTTTCCCCCCACAGTATCTTCTTGAAATGAAGAGTTTAATATTACCCCCTGAACACATTCTGAAGAGAGGGGACAGTGAAGCAATAGCATATGCTTTCTTTCACCTTCAACACTGGAAAAGGGTAGAGGGAGCTTTAAACCTCTTACATTGTACGTGGGAAGGGAGTAAGTATTTTGCTCTTTCCTAGAATATATTGGCTAGAGAATGGTGCAGCAATACTGTTATATTTAATCTGTGCTCTTATATATAAATTCCATTTTACACATACCTAGTGTTTTTACTGGATTTAGCATTATTAACTTTCAGGAACAAGGAGACTTCTATTTGGTACTATTTTGTTGCAGAGCTGAACAAACATTACTAGACCTATTAGGCCCCAGGTTTTGTGACCATGGAGCCTCTGTCTTAGGCACAGCATTTTCTTATTGGTATGTTTCATGGGTAAGACAGACACCAGCTAGATTTCATAGTGGTGCAGGGTAGCATCCATCTCTACCACTGATTTGATTGTTGTATTGCTAAATACTGGGGAACAAATGACACTCTGGGTGACAGATGCAGTCAATAAAACTGTATTGTGATTAAAAGCTGTTGACATGCTACAAAGTTGCCACCTGTATGGCCAGAAGTAGCTTTAGCGGTTGTTCATCACATCTATTGAAACTACGCCGTGCAGCCTTTAGACTGCTTTTATTCTTCATAAAAAGTTATTTTGACAAGTGCCATGTCAACTGGCATTAGTTGACATATTGGATTGTCTTCTACTATGTAGAAGTAGGAAACCTCTTGACTTGCTTGACTGAGACTCGTGATGCTTGCTTAACCTTCTAGTTCCACAATTTTACAACTCCTCCTTGGATTCTACAAAGAACAATGATGTGCAGTAACCCAAGACATTGTTGTGTAGTCAGACCAGTGAGGGATGACTTTGGCTACTATAGGTTACTGCACTTGACACATTTGCTTCTAGTTCTATTAAATAAAGGGCATCTTATTTCACATGGAATAGCTGAGCCTACATCACAGACCTTTTGAAGGTGGAGGATTTCATATTTTAACAAGAAATTGAAACTTAACTCTGGATTTACACTGGTCCCTGTGCATGCAGAGGTGAATGGAGTATAGTTTCCCTTTCTTTCCCACTAAACTGTAGTATATAGATGTTAACCAGCCACATAGGAAAAACCAGGATTTATACTTGACTTGCATGATAATGCATCAAAATGCACAATTTGAAAAATGACAATATGAAATAAACCATGTGAATAGGTCTTATACGGTATGTAGTACTAAAATCCAACACCTGATGGCAGTGTCATATCTTCCAATGGAACCATATATATATAAAAACAACATGACATGCAGTATGTGAAATGTAACACTTGATGGCAGATTTGTGTCTAAGGCACAGCATAATGCTGCCGAGTGCAAAGAAACCATTTCTGTTTTATAGTTTTTGCAGCTTTTGCTGTTTTTATGTACATTAGATAAAATAATACATATTGTTTACTAATTGTATCAGAAGTTATAGAAAACATTTTATGAGCGAGCTACATCATTTGCCATTGCTGACCTTTATCTGACAATGCGATTTCCTTGGCTGTCATGTTAATACTCTGACCTCAATACTGGGCATCACTACCAGGTTTCTTGATCTGGTGTTCTAAATTCACTTGCTGCATCAGTCCTTCTAAATACCTGGTGATCCTGCCAGTCCCCCTTATTTCCAATTGCAATCTGACTGCACTAATCACAAAATCAGATGTGAGCTGGTGCGGTCAGTTGAGTATCAGTGTGCCCCTCTTGTAGTTACAGGATGCCATGTTGCCAATGTACAATTTGCCTGTATCTTCATAGTCTCTGCCCATGCCCCTTTTGCAGCTAAGGCCTGTAGGAGCATAGTTAGCAGAAGGGACACAATTCTAGAATGCAGCACACATAGATGGGGAATGTACTAACCCAGGGGTGCCCACAAGGTCAATCGCGATCTACCAGTCGAGGAGAGAGAGAGAGAGAGACGCTCGGCCAGGATCTGACAGCCGGCGCCTCTATCTCCCCTCACTGCTCGTCCGTTCTGTCTCTGTCACAGTTGGGGATCCCATTGGATCCCCAGCTGCCTGGGGGATCCAGAGGAGAAGCTGAGCCCCCTTGTGCGTGGACGAGCGGCAGAGGATCAGTAGATGTCACTAGTATGTACCAATCCTCTGTGCAGGACAAACACTGGAGCGATCGGCTGATCACTCCGGTGTTTGTAAATAACTGGGGACACATATAACTTATTTAAAAAAACGAAATGCAGTTCGAGTCATAAAACACTATTTCCTATATTACAATGGGCTTTTATTGCAGTGTGTTCACAAATTCAAATATGTTGATGTGTTAGTTCAGCCAATGCTTCAAAGAGATTAGTGTTAATCCAGCCAAAACCTTTCTCTTGTTTTTGGATAGACTAAGCAAAGGTTTGAACCCCTGTCAGGTTTTTACGTCTATCTGGGCCTCCGAGATAATTGCACTTCCTTCCTGTCTGCTGAAAATGTTTTACCGGACAAGAATTGAGAAGAACTTTCTAACAGCAACACAGACATAAATAAAAAGCTTTCCTTTAGTAGAGAACGGGAAGGCTGGACCCCCTGTCGGATTTCTGTATGTTTGTCCCTATTGCAGCTTTTCCCTCACTTCCTGCCTGTTTAAACCATTGTCTGGAGTGAGCAAATGAGGATAAATCTCTTCATTGGAGCCCTGGATAGCAGTGACATTCCAACAGTTTCCCACTTTATCCAAAGAAGTAGAAACAAAATGCTGGGCCTACTTCTTTAGATTTCAGCTTTGATAATTGAAACTAAGACCTTTAGAAGTTCTTTTATCTGCATAAATGGACACAGCCTTGAAACCACTCGTCTGTTGTCATATTGGATGTACTTCATTCACTGGATTATGTTCTCCAATTATTATTTTATATTATTGTAGCATCTGCTTCCTAAATACATATTTTTCTTGGCTCCTGGATTGTAAATTAATTTGTTCACCTCTTCTCATTGGTGACTTCTGTGTAGAGAATCCTCGCCGCTGACTCTGCCCACTCTCTCATGTAATACATTAAATGTATTTCCCTGATTTCACTTCTATTATCACAAACATTTGCTTGTCGCCTCCAATGCGCATATGCTATGCGTATATATTAAACATTTGAATATTAAGATTTCTGTACTTGCTGTAACACGTCTAAGAAGACAACCAGCCTTTCTACCTAAGAAAGGTCTCAGTCTTGGCCCCTAACCCTAGGGAGCAGGGAAAGGGGATGAAAACAAGGTTGTCTGGCTAGACAACCTAAATCACAGGGAGCCACTACAACTTGTGGGTGCCCTCACTGTGTGGTATCTAAATCATATAGCACATGACCCCAAAGTCAGCCTAATTTAGGAGATGTTGAGTGACCAAGGAGCATCTGTGCAATGTTAGAGAGAAATGAGAGAACATGCATGAGAACTCCCGCCGGGCAAGGACAAACAGCAGTCATCCAATAAATATTCACAGGTGGCCACGGAATAAAAAAAGTCTACCTAACCTTGAACTGAAAACATGATTTAAAGAGTCTTCCACCTAGCCCCAAAGCTAGAGATGCAACCTCAGCGGAGGAATGAGTGGCGGGAGTCTTTCCTACAGTTCTAAGTGCATTGATCTAATTAGGATCAGCTAATTATGGGGTGTGACAGAACACTCTCAAGAGGCTAAAGACTAGCCGAAAAATGAGGACCGATTTCCTGGAATGCTGCTCCCTCTAAGTCCTCCGGACCTATCCTCTAGAGGCTGAGAAGGACTGCAGAGTCCGAGAAGGAGGAAGAAGACTTCATAAGAAGGCATTTCCCTGACACGTCTCCTGCCCTAAGTATGGAAGGAAGGGACACATCCCTTACTGATATGGGGGGTGAGAAGGCTCTGCAGAGACTCTTAAAGGAGAACTATGGGGTTAGGGCTTTTCCCCGTAGTTCTCCTTAGGGTAACGGGAGGACACAAACTAGCGTCCTCCCGTCACCCTAAGCTCAGTATAACGCTACCTACAGCTCGCGGTATACAGAGACGCCGCAGCTGAAGCGGATCCCGACAATTATGTCTGGATCCACCCAGCTGCGTGGGTGACAGTTGGCTCTGCCTATCTAGAGGCAGAGCCAGCTTTACCCGCCGCCTCCCCCATCCGTTCCGCCAGTCAGCGCTGGAGAATCGGAGGGGGGAATCCAGCCCCTCCCCTGTCACGGCAGAGAGCTGTGACACTTCCCGATCAACTGAGCCGACCTGCGACAGTCTCATTGTCACAGGTCAGCTAGAACTATGAGGTGAGTGAAAAGCACTCACCTCATAGTTCTCCTTTAAGCAAAGGCTTGGATGGAGCCATCACTCCCATTGGTGATCCAGAGAAACCAGCAACAGGCAATCAGTAGGTCTTAGGCAAACAGAGCCTGCAGGCAATACATTAATCTGAGGATAGAAGAGCCACAAGTATCTACAAAACTGATCATCTATAGGGAGGGTCTTGGTGGGTATAATGGTTAAAGGCGCTAGGATAGACATGTGCACTAGGACCTAGAGGACTGACCGGTATGTCTAGGAAACTCTGAGGGGTCAGGTCCTTACTGGGGGGGGGGTCAGTAGAAACTGGCCTTAAACTACCTGTTGGGTCAGGGGGTCCCTGAAGACTGATCCATGAAGGGTAACCTTCCGCCCAGCCTAACTCCTATTAAAATATGAACAAACAGGTCCAGGCTGCAGGGAACTCAGAACTGTGTCTGGGGAGCAAGACTGTCAAACAATGTTGAAAGGCAGTTAAAAGGGAAACCAGACTCAAGAGTGCAGTCTGTGTACAATGGGTGTTAACCTAAGTACCCAAATGTCAAGAAGACAAACTGCCCCCGGACCTATTCGGGAAATCAAACAGCCGCCTTGTAAAAGTTAGCTAGTACTCACAACCTAGGCAGCTGGTGCTGGTAAGGGTTTTTATGTGGGCAGAGGTGGCCAGGTCACTGTAGGTAGGCAGTGGAAACGGACTGGAGATCCACAAATAGCAAGGAGGATGATGCTTCCTCTGGGCTGGAAGACTGGAAAGAGAGCATGGAGCGCACATGCACAGCACTCCACCCAGTCTATGGTATCAGTGATTGATCCTTTAGCCTTAACCCTTATTGCAGTAGAAGCAGGAAATTTTAAAAGGAGCCCAAGTTTTAAATAATGCTGTTGTTCCTGGTGCGTCAGCCTAACTCACTAAATGAGTCTTCTTTCACAAAGGTTTTATTTGTTTTTTTATCAATTTTTCACATGAGGGTCACAAAAATAACAAGGGTAGGGCACGCAAGCCCTGCAACATGGAATACAAACGGAAGTATACAGCCACATCAAGGTGTTGATTACTGCAGACTCGTATAACAGAAGCTGTAGAACAGGTATTCAAGAACATTGTGGGAGCATAGAAGAGGGGTTGCTGTTCAGTTGTAATGCGTAAGATCCAGTATAGGAGGGGAAAGGATCATAACAGGGGGAGCTTTTCGGGTCAGGTGTCTGAGTATCATGGAAACTAGATCAATGGGGTTTGTGGCCCCCTATACCAGAACATTTGGTACAGAGAACCTTAACTATTACAGTTTGAACGCATGCCACCAATAAGCATTTTGTGATTCGAGAAATTGTTCAGTTTCATGACGAGTACAACATATGAAGTGCATCAAACCCAAAGATTCTCCTATGTAAAAGCATCTAGCCCAGGGTTTCCCAAATTGGCAATATTGACCCTCCAAGGGTTTATGGGATTGTCCAATTGATCAATAAACCGGCTGGAGGTAAAAAGGGGGGAGCCAGTAAAGGTCTGGGGTCAATAGCAGTTTGAGAATTAAAGGGCAAGTAATCTTTTGGGTTCAAACAGACTATACTAGTGTAAAGTAACCCACATATACATCTGTACGACATGAACACCTCACCCCTCCCCCCCTCGTCTCCAGCCGAGACCATTCGCACAC